TAACGTGTGAATAGAAGTAATTGTAATTCATTTGCAATCTGGTATCTCACTCTTGCATTTTTTTTTTTTTTTTTGCACACATCCAACACACCTTTCCTGTTAACACATGACGAGGTAAGTGAGGTAGAAACAAAACAGAAAGGCTTATTAAACAGGAGGGGCTTTTTGAATGAGCGGTTCTTTCCCCTTTCTGTTCAACTCTGAGTGTCCGCTCATGCTGCCTCCATCACCCCCACCCCCCCACACGCACACACACACACACACACACACACACACACACACACACACACACACACACACACACACACACACACACACACACACACGCACACACGCACACACACACACACACACAGTAGACTGTAATGAATGGGTGCTACCCCATCACAGTGCTAATTAATGAAGGACCTAATTGTATAATGGATTGTGACTGCACGGATGTGGCACAGAGAGCCAAAAAGAAACGGCCATGTGCTTTAGTGATGAGCTAGATAAGTGGCTAAACAGTTGAGCTATTGGGATTACAATACTGATAATACAAATCCTCCATGTGAAATTGGTTAAGCATTAAGTTTGACCTTCGTCGTACCTGGACACACAACTTCACCCCTGTAAAAATGTCCATTTGCCGCCATCTTTAATATCTTGACTATTTGGATTTTAAAGCAATAAAATAGTGAAGGAATACTGCAAACATCTGGGAGTAAATACATTACGAAGAAAAAACAGCCATGCCCACTCATAAACTCAATTTACTGCTACTTTTAAACTAGCATTTAAAGGTTTGAGCAGCTCTCACGGATTGTCCTACAGGAGTTGGATTTCAATCTCTTTTATATGAGTTATAATAATACTACTATATATAATAATACCACCAGTTCAGGTATCTGCAGAATCCAGACATGTACTTTTTGTTATATCTCACAGGTGCTGACAGCATTCAATTATTTTATGACATTTCCAATTAACTTATTAACCAAAGGTTTCACATCATCATCAGTTTTCTGTTCTCTTATTAAACATGATTTAAAGCATATATAATGTATATATGAATTAATGTGGGTTCTTTGGTAACCCTGGTAAAGATAAAAAAGTGAGTATGCAATTTGAAATTACAGGAAAAGTCAAAGAGTTCAAGTTTGCCGTAGATTGCTCATTCCAAATATCACACGCTATAAAACCCCAAATATTTATGATGTATGTTGTGAGCCAAAATATGCAGATTGAAAATATCACAAGAAGAAAGAAGTGAACTAATTTCTGTGATGGTTTTTGCTAGTAATAGTTTGTTCTTAGAGTCCTCATTCCACCCCGTAATCCAGAGTTTGTAATCAATAAAAGTCTCTCTGGGCCAGGCTACCCTACTCTGCAAAAAAGTCTACTAAAAACAGGCTCAGGTGTCTCTACAGTCAGACATACTGTTTGCATTGCTTTATTGGTTGGTACCTTTAAAGTTGTTGGGGACATCCAGCTCATGTTAGGGTGTAGGTCTCTGGAGACGTTAGTTTCATGCTTATTAGGAGACAGTATGAATTTGTAACCCCGTGTTGAATCGGTTCCCATTCGGTGAATTGACCTGCGAGAAGAGTTTGAAAACACACGTCGAAGCCAAAATGTGGAAGAGAAATTCTGCATAAAACTTTTTTTTCTCTGCTGCTATTGAAGTAAAATATGCAACCTTTTTCAATGTTTTACATCACTTCAAGTATTGTCACTACTTTGGTACCGTCTGTCCCAGGTGCACACACGGCGCTGAGCTCAGAACAATGAGCTGACTTTCCTCTCCTCTCCCGTTCGGAGGTACAGTATTTGAATCCCGTTCGGCCAGCCTGAGCAGAATCAGTGCAGCGAGGGGGTCTGTCAAGCAGCCTGACAAACTCATTCCTGGCTAGCGGCGCTTGTTCCTGTCTGATGAAAATGTTACATCGCTCTCTCATTCTCCGCCTTGGCCCGCTATTCCCGGAACACAGCTCTGAGTGGGTGGTTATTCTGTCATCATTTTTGGAAGGCACACACACACACACACACACACACACACACACACACACACTCAAAGGCGAAGGTCCATCCAAAGCAATTTTTTCCTCCAATGTTTTACAATCTTCAACTGCAGGGCTAAAAGCCTCTCCAGGGACATAACTCATTGGCACTTTTTATTTATTTGTATTTTGATAAAACATCTTCATTAAGGATACAGACTGACCCTGGCGCTCATGCACACGGCTCTTCTTCCATGAGGGTACTTTCAAAACAACAAAATTGCATGTTTGTGGTGGTGGTATGGTGTTGGTATAGGCATATACATCTGAATCCAACTGCACAAACACAATTGTTGTGAAGCTTATAACTGCTGTCAGGAAACTCTAACATGATGACTTTACAAGTAACACTGTTGATGCCTTATATTTAACCCTACAGTGGATAAGAAATGGTTTGGATTCCATCCCTCTTTCTGCTTTATTCAGCTGTCTAAGAGAAGAGCGAGGCTTCATTTCCTGACAGTGATTTCCATAATACAACAGTAGGTGTTGAAATACGGTGTGTGATTAAGTGGATTCTAGAGGTCTGACTTCACAGACAAAGCCCAGTTGTCAAGTTGTACGGACAGGTGTACTGCCGTCTGAAAAGCAGGAGAAGAAAAGCAGGAAGGAAAGGGGAATAAAAAAGGGGGGCAGATAGGACGGGGCGTCTGGAGGAATGGGGGCTCAGTCAGAGGGTGTTGAAAAAAGCCTCCACCTGAACGCACCGCTGCATCCTAATAACTCCTCAGCCTCTGAAATGTAAAAAAGTAAAACACCTCATGCTCTACCTTTCCCTTCTTTCTTCCGCTTCACTCTTTATCCGAGCAGCTGTGAAGGGCACACACCTGGCTGACATCCATCTGGCCCTATGTGTGCATGTGTGTGTTTGTCTATTTAAAGAGGTCTTGCGCTGCAGGTTTCTGGAGGTTGATTGCTCTCACTGCCAGTATTGTTCATGTGGATTCGGCTGCCATGGCAATAGCTGTACGCACGAAGCATACAATCTGACCAATCACAGTATAACAGTACACTGTCTTCAGCTTCCTGTGGAGTGGCCCTGTGATTGGACTGCTGTCAGCTCTTATCCGTTGAATATAATCGTTTGAATGGAAAACACTCAACAACTGCTGCTTGGGTCTTCTTTAGCAAGGCATGCCACTCGCAACAACTCGAGTGGTGCAGCTTTATTGCCAATAGAGGAGGCCGATATCGCTGCATGCTCTCTCTCTGAGCTATGCAGAGAAAGATGCACTTACCTGCATATCAAAGAATAACGATGGACTGACATTAAAGCTTGAAGGCTCTCAGCTTCACCATGTTGTTAAAGATCTTGATCATGCACTGACAAGAATTTTTTTGTTTTTCTTATAAAAAGAACGTTAATGGGTGGTTAGCGCTGTTGCCTCACAGCGAGGAGGTTCCTGGTTTGAGTCCCTGTCAGACAGGAGCCTCTCTGTGTGTAGTCTGCATGTTCTCCCCGTGCATGTGTGGGTTCTCTCCGGCTTCCACCCGTAGTCCAAAGACATGCTCATTAGGTTCATTGGTCACTCAAAAATTGTCGGTAGGTGTGAATGCGACCAGTCCAGGGTGTAGCCCCGCCTCTCGCCCAATGACAGCTGGGCTCGGCTCCAGCCCCAGTGACCCCGCTTACTTTTCTCACACCTCCCTCCACCTTCTTATTGTGTGTAATGAAGAAGTACGATGCAAAATTGCCTGATTTGAGTTCTTGTGTTCCTGATTCTCTTCATCAGACACCAGTAGAAATTGTCAGAGAAGAGACTTGAGGGGTTATTTTCCATCTTAATCGATCGCGCCAGTTGTTAGACTCTTAACAGTACTCTCTCACACCTCTCTGCAGGCTCAAATAAACCATTCTTGTGCACCTTACATTCAGATCCACAGCATCGGCCCTGCACCAAAGCGCTGTGGTGGAATTTCTGTACCTATGTATTAAATTTGAGTGTACAAACATCATTATGTTTATTCACTGTTCTCTGATGTCAGTCAGACCTGATAGAGTTCAGCTGTGACTAGAAACCAAGGACAGCTTAGTGTGTTGAGGGTTTTCCCTTTATATCTGCATGTTTGATAGACTTGAGTGTCTGTTCTAAATTGACATCACGGATTAGTTTAGGTCAGTGTGACCATGACATCAATAATGTCTTTTCTATATATTCAAAGCCTGTTGAAGAGTTTCGGAGACTTGGCATAGCAGAGACACAGCATCAGATGTGTGCTTGCTACTCCATCTCTGCTCCGGAGTATTCTTGTATTCATGTATAAACTTTCATCAGCGTAAGCCATCTGAGTCAACTGAGTCTTACTGTGTGAAGTCAAGTTATTAGTCATTTCCACAACAGCGCCTCTGTGGTAATCCTCAACAGAAGGCCCCGTGGGATTGCACCGGGGAGAAGAGCATCAAAATGATCCTTCAAAGCAGTGTTGTTTCGGAGGAAGCAACTGTTGTTTGAGCGCCAAATTGCTACCTGGTGTTTTCAAAGTTCTCCTTCATCCCCGCTGTTCCTGCACCGAGCTCATGACTGGAAAAGAATTAGCCGCGCTCGGTTAGACGGTACGGCCAATTGACGATGACAGCCCCGTGTCGTGTGACATGCTTGCCATCCATTCGCTTTCTCCCCCCCGCTCTCCTCGTCTTCCCCCCCTCCTCTTTATCTTGTCTCCCGCCTGTTCTCCATTTTCTTGTCATTCACCATCGCGGCTCTTTCAGCTCCTCTCTGTTATCTCTTCTTTGTTCTTTAACCAAAGTTGAAGATAGTTACTTTCCAAAGCCATCTTGATGCACCCATGACAGTGTAGTTGGGTTTGGCAACAATTTGCCAACTATGGTTGGAAAGTTCAGCCATCAGCACCAAAGATTTGAAACTGTTTTGTTTGGAGTTTTGTTTCCATTTCCTAAAAAAAAAAAAGTGTAATCTACAAAAATAACAAAATATATTTATCTTTTCTTCGCACCCTCAGCAGCTGGAAGAAGACGACTTGGTGTTGACTCCTGATGGTACACAGGAGTTCATGACCTTTGAGATCCCTCTTAATGACTCGGGCTCAGCAGGCCTGGGGGTCAGCGTCAAGGGGAACCGCTCCAAGGAGAACCACGCTGACCTGGGCATCTTTGTGAAATCCATTATCAACGGAGGCGCTGCTAGCAAGGCAAGTCACTAGTCTGCCCACTGCCTTGATTGATTTCATCGCTTTTATCCACGATTTTGTTTTACCTCAGTGACCTTCAGGTGACTACACAGTCCTCAACGTTTGATGCTAATGATGTTTAAGAGGCGTGATGACCACACTGGGAATTTTCACCCCTGAGGCAACATTGTTCTCTCATGTGTTGTTACACCCTTGAACTGCTACTTTTGTTTCTTTACAAAAATCACTGCTATTATCCTCCAATGTCTGAAACCAATGAATCATCATTAGCTTAAGAGTGAAAAGGGTATTTTTTGGGGGGGATAAAGATACTTTATCTAAAATCTTGCCTCAGAAGCAGAAATCTGAAATTTGCTACTCCAAGTGTTTTATTTATGAGTATTTTTTAATCTCCTCCAATGGCATTTTTTCTGCAGGATGGACGTCTACGAGTCAACGACCAACTCATAGCAGTCAACGGGGAGTCGTTGCATGGAATGACCAACCAGGACGCCATGGAAACACTGCGCAAATCCATGTCTGTAGAGGGCAACAAGCGAGGGATGATTCAGCTCATCATTGCCCGGCGGGTTTCTAAAAACAATGAGGTAAGCCTTACTGTCAGGGAGAAGTCACACTGATGTGCAGGGGACTAATTAGCCTCATAAGGAGTCCGACTTAATTGCCTTTGTTTATTCCTGTAATCAAAAACTGTGTATTAGCATTCTCATCATGAGCCACCATAACTCCAAGATGGACTGTGCTTTTGACAATGTCCCCCTGTGTACACACGTACAGTGTAATAAATGCAGCTTAAACAAAATGCATGCTTTAATTCAAATCCTGTCTGCGGACAAGTGGATGACATATTCAGAGAAGAAGAGGGATGGCTACATTTCAGCTGCTCTGAATGATAAATGAGAGTGGCTCTCCTGGCCCTAATCTATCACACATAGGTTTTTGTTGCTTTGAGATAGCTTTAAAAAAAAAGGACATTTATGAAGCAACCGCACCAGTATGCAAATCTTCAAACAATCCCATTTCCTGTGTGAGATAGGTGATATCGTCTCCGTCTCCGTCCCCCCCCCGCCCATTAACAGTGAGTTTTTTTTTTTTATTCACCCACAGTGGGTCTTGATATGGATATCTAAGAAACACTTCACTGACTTCTGATTGACAGGCCTGTGGAAAACTGTAGAAAAGGCAGATAGAGGGAAATGTATGTGGAGGTGGATGTTTGTCTTAAAGCACCAGACATGAATCCTGAAAGCGAGGAAAATTCATTTCTGTTTTTAGGAGATACTTTTATTCTATCAAATGCTGGGGTAAAGATGAATGAAAACATGATGAATGTAACAAATGCTCAGCCCAGTGTGACTGTATTTTAGAATCATGTATGAATATATCCACACAGTGTGGAACATGCTCACTCACCCTGCAGCCAGAGGTTGTAGATCAGGTTTGATTAGTGTTTCTGTGACTCTAATTGGAGCCTGTGTCCCGTGGCTGTGTGTCAGTTTGGAGTACCACGCTGAGCCCCAGTCCCCCCTCACTGCCCTTCACCCTCCCTGCAAGCCCTCACCTCCAAGCACTTTGTTCTCCTCTCCTTTCCTCTCCTCTCCTCTCCTCTCCTCTCCTCTCCTCCCCTCTCCTCACCTCTCCTCTCCTCCCCTCTCCTCTCCTCTCCTCCCCTCCCCTCCCCTCTCTTATCCCATCATCCCCTGTTGCCCTTTGCACTTGTTTGTCTTTTGTTTTTTCTGTAAATTCATAAATAGTAGATATTTGACGAGTTCCAAAGATGAAAATGTCTGTTGGTCTCTCTCAGTGTCTCTTCTCCTTAAATTATTTTTCTTGCCTACCTAATACCCAGAATTGAAATCACTAACCCAACGAAGATAACAAAGAGTGTCTTCTTAAAGTCTGACTTCTACATCGCTCTCTTTCCTGCTTCTTGCATAGTGTAAACAATACAAAATGCTTTTAACACTTTTAAAAACTCAACAAGTGCTGCAGCATGTGCTGATAAGTGCCTTTTCTGTTCTCAGCCTCTATTAGTACGGCAAACCAAATCATAGAAAGAGCATAAAAACTTTTCTGATAAACTGAAAATTTGATGGGAAGTGGTCAGGATAACGAAAGTTACTCAGGGATGCATTAGTGAATTTTGAAAATGGTTTGGAGTTAACGTCCATCCTCCTATCAAGCCTTTTTTTGGTTAATGCAAATTCAAAATTCAAAATAAGTTCATTTTCTCGGTTATGAGCTCAATTTGTTTAAAAGCATCAGTCCATACAAATCATTAAACCAGAGAGACCACAAACAAAGAAGTGCAGCTTTAATTGGTTTAAAATATCCCCAGTTATACTTAACCTACCTACAAACCTAAAAGGTCATTACATGATGAATAGGGTCAAGCCCATAGATTGGTTCAGGCATTCATAGTTCTGATGGACGTTTGACATGGCGTGTTTGGTCTTGAACACTCCCTCTAGAACAACAACACCACATGTCGCTGCAGAAGCTGGGGATCGAACCCCCAACCTTCCACCTCTGTATGTAGCCCTTTTCATAGTGCAACAAAGCTCTGCCGTCATTACGCCTGGAGACATTCTTATTGATTCCTCAAAGACGTAATATTGCTGTCTGTGTTTTCACGTTTCCTTCGGGCGTTGCGGAAACACTTACAGCGCTATTTTACTCTGCTCGCTCCGCTGATCCCGTCTCGTCAATCCCTGTCTAACCTCTGTAACGCTTTTGTTACTACCTCCGAATATGGTGCAGAGTGGGGATCACTTTGTCCTCCCATTAAGTCTCTGCGACACTCAGAATGAAGGCGAAACGTCACATGTAGCATCTTGAAACCGCAGTCCAGATAGGCCTCCTGATTGTGCAAACACAAAGACTTTAGCAATCCAAGCACATAGTCATTGGGTAAAATAGCTCAACCTCTGATTACTTTTCCTCGCCTTCTAATTATGAAAGATAAAAAGGATTATTGCTGTTGTAAGTTTTGGGTGGAAATAAATAAATCACAATACTTTTTCTAATTTCTATAAAATCAGAAACACACTGTGCATCATGTCTGCATCATATTACCCTAATGGAGCTTTAAAATGACGAAACACCAACCAATTCTGCACCTTGTTTTTTTTTTAAACACAAGGCTGTTTCTTTTTACCTTCTGGCACTCTCTCCCAACTGGAGGGGGGGGGGGCAGATGTCCCTGCGGGGAGAGACTAGCCTCAAGGTTCAGTGAGTTCTATCACTTCGGTCCAGTCACTCTCCTGTCCTCTCTAATCCTTCACCAGCAGGCAGACAGGTAGACAGACCGGTACTCAGCAGACAGTTAAGGTCACAGAAAAACACAATTTTAGAAACGGCAAAAAAAAAAAAAAAAAGACATCACTGGGTAGTTCAAAGTATGAGGGTTGATGTTACTTATTTAAATTTCCGTTCAAATCAAGAGAGAGAATTTGATAAATGTTTATACAATTTGACATTTCTTTGAACATCAGTGTGATGATTTTGCAGAGAAAGATGTAGGAGTTAAAGCATGTTTTATATTGAATCCTTTTAACTCCCATTACAGGCAGACATCCACTGCTGAAGATGCAGTGATTTTCAGACAGTGCTTTGAAAATGTGCCATAAAGTCACAAGAGGGAATTTAAATAAACTCAGAGTAGAGAAAAAAAAACATGTAAATGTTTAAGAATTTAAGGTCAGTAGCAAACCAAAACGATAAACGGAGAAGTTAAATGTCGACAGAAGCTCCCGGCAGCTACATCCACTCTCCACCCCCCCTCCCCCCCAATCCCCATTTCCCCATCTCTTCTTTGCTGGCCAGGCAGAGATGTTGGGAGGCAGCGCCAGTTTGCCACTGTCACCCAGCCGAACGGGACTGAGCACTGGAGGCCACCACTGAAATGAATCAGATCCATCACTGTCTGCAGGGGAGAGGAGCCGAGCTGCCCGGCCTCATGCATCAGAGGGGGTGCGGGGGGGGACTTCGATGTGTGCAGAGTATCCAGGCCACCCCACTCCATGAAAATTACATTGATTTCATCCTTTTTTTGGTCCTGTGGGGCTGGAGTACGTTCAAATGTGTGTGAAGGAAGCACTGAGATGCTTCTTTGTAGTTTGGGCCGGTTTGGTGTCGTGTGTTTTTTTTTTTTTTGTGACCGTCCATTTTCTTCTGCTGGAAATGTTAAATGTGACGGTCATTGTGTTCAAGGCTGCGACCGTGGAGACATACATTGTTACAAATCCTCTTAAGTGGTAAATACAAGCGTTTTAATTGGCTGCTTTCCTGCTGCTGATGGTTGTAAACCGAACTTTGAGAAAGAGTTTCTGGTCTATTTGTGATGCAATTAAAGCAGAATGAGTGGCCTTTGCCTTGATATAAAATTAGATTTTTTTTTTTGTTGATCTTGGAAAGAAGAGAGAAATGAAAACACTTGGGCATGATTAAGGCCGCATACAAGGCTTACAAAGCAGTGCTCATTATTCCCTATCCCAGCGGGTCTCCATGAACTTGATACACAACTGGTTGTCCCTTTGCAAGATTAACACAAGCCCTGATCAGTGCAGGGAGAGTCTTTTGGATCCTCCAATACCTCTATTGTGATCCTTCTTGTCTCCGCTCTCCTCTTTCACTGACACGCATGCTGATGTCAGTACACCGTCTTGAAAAGATAAAAAAGCAGCATTTTAAGGGACATGAGGCTTCAAGAGGGGCTACAAGGAAGGTCACACAGATGCATCCCCCTAAGGAAGGTTATTATTCTCAAACTTGTGCTGCATCAAGGAAGTCACAGATAGAAACCCTACATTCAGATGCTTCAAACAATGGACTTTCAGTTTGTTCAATTCCTTTTGCCTCTAAAACTCTCTACTTGTTGCTCGTACTTGCCTCCTGTCTTTGCATCTTTGTTTGGAGGGGCAAGGACTCGAGGAGAGTCGGTGAGGAAAGGAAAAGAGAACACTGAGAAATGTCAGGAGCCTCCGGTCACTGGTAATCAGTGAAATAAATGGAAGTACAAAAGCATTACCATGGAAGTAAGAAGAGCTCCTGAGGCATTTTGAATAAGAGGAAAAATTTCTCCAGTGCATTTTTAAACAGGTCTAAATATTATGACTCCATGCATTTCATTTTCAATCACTCAGAAGACAGGGAGCAGGAAGCAGGAAGCGTGTATTTCAGAGCATTTTGAATACCGTATTTTCCGCACTAAAGGGCGCACCGGATTATAAGGCGCATAGAATAGAACGTGTTTACAACTGAACAAGGCTGGGAGATATTGTGAATGTATAAATATAATAATATAGTAGTGCATTCACAATAACTCAACGTTGTTCAAACGTTAATGTGCATATTCACAATATCTCCCAGCCTTGTTCAGTTGTAAACACGTAAAAGAAACACAGTCTGATACCGCTAATTCAAACGTTAGTGCGCAACTCAACATTGTTCAGTCACGTATAACACGTAAAGCTCACTTTTTCAGTTCATTCCCCATCCACGAATCCCTCGAATTCTTCTTCTTCAGTGTCCGAATTGAACAGTTGGGCGAGTACGGCATCCAACATGCCCGGCTCCCTCTCGTCAT